GAAAATATTATACGTTTCCAGACAGGGTGTGAAATTAATATTGCTTGGGCAGAGCGAAGGATCGCTTCATCCTAGTGGTGGCAACCAATTATTCATCTGCCTGTTGAATATTAATGAATATTAATGTAGCAATGCGCTACACAATGAGCAGCCGGAGATGGATAATTTGTCATCCAGCCTTTTCATCTGCTGCTGCTGGGAGGGGTGACGACACACTCACCGCCACCACAAAGAAATCCTCATGTCAAGGTGCTGCTCTGCAACCCGGCGATAAGGATACGGCTGGAGACAGGACTGTTCACGTCTCCTACCGCTGCTCCCAAGGAGCAAAGCCCCGGCAGAGCTACTCAGGGTCAGACAAGAAGCAAGAAGCTCAGCCTGGTGAGCCGGGCACTGCTCAGACTCAGGACATCTGAACTCAGCTCCCACACTGGACTTGTCCAGCAGCGCTGGCTGCAGCCACTTTATTTCCCTTCGTTCCAGGTTTCTGCATCTAGTGAGCACCTGGGCACGTCCCACCTCAGCAAGGGGCCAAGGTTGTGAGAGGCTTCGATGAGGCAGGGAAGAGAATCAGAGAGAGAAACCTCTCCCACCTCTGCCTACCACCAAGATTTCCTCTTGATCCCACCCCAAGCCCCAGCACGGCGCAGACCAAAACCTGCCGAAGCCTCTCTGTTCAGAGCAGGGAGCCCCAAAGTGTCACACCAGGAACGGGCAGGAGCCCACGGACTCGAGCAGCCACAACTGGCTCATCCAGAAAAGCTCAGTGGCTGCGGTGGAACGATTCCTGGCTCACACTGGCCTAAATGAGGCCCCAAGTGTCCAGATCAGAAAGACATCCAGCTGGCTCCCTGTTCCCGTGGCTCCACGAGTTACTGCTCCGACGCACTGCAACCCTCGGGCTGAGAAACAAGGCAGCAGGTACGGGCATCTCTCCAGCTCTGTCCACCTTGACACATCCCCACCAAAAAGGCAAATCTTTTGTCTCATCTTCCTCTGAAGCACACACGTCCCATCCAGGGACCACCAAGACCACCAGGAGATTGGAAATACCCCCTGAATGTCAACAGGTATTCCAAAATGTCATTCAAACACAGTCACCAGCCTTTACTCTTCGTTCATCATCGCGCAGCCAGGCAGGCTGCAGCAGCAAGACGGGTGTGAAGCCACTTCTCCTCTCCTTCTCACTGGGGTGTTTGCTTCAAAGTCTAATTACAGCCAATTAAAAAAGCGGCTGGAGTCATTAAGTGCCTCTCTAATGCTGCCAGAGTGGGAGTTCAGATTTATCTTCTCTCCCCACACAACTTTTACCGTGGGTTCTCTTCCTGAATGAGGCACCACCGTACGCGAGACGCCACCACCAGCATGGAGCAGGTCACCCAGCGAAGAGATTTACATGCAATCCTTCAGCTCCCTCCCTGGGCAGGAAGATGCAGCAGCCCAAACTCCTCTGGAAAACACGAACGGCGACAGACTGCGGCTGAGAGATGAGCTTGGTGAGGCCCTGCAAGAGGAGCAGCCTCAAGAAACCACGAAGAGGCAGCCAGCTGCGAGAGCGCTCCTTCTCCCGCTCATCGCTAAGTCAAACTGGTTGACTACAGCCACCCCCAGCAGGGGCACTCCCATTCCTTCAATCCCAGGGATACACTGCAAACACTCACCCAGCTGTGCCCGTGCTCTGCCCTCGCAGGAGCTCACCAAAGAGGCTGCCCTGTGCCCACACTACCAGCAGACGCGACGCAGCGCAGCGGGGAGCCGATAACTTGGAAGGAAGACGACGGCAGCTCGACAGTGACTTTTCCTGGCATGACTGTACTTCAGATGACAGCCTGGAAGTGCCTCGCTGATGAATGATGCAGCAGATGCGGGAGGCTGATGCTCTGATGCGGTAACAGCTGGGAATATGCCTCCCTCCCCGCGGAAGGTGGAAACTGTTGCTCCTTGATGAGTATATTCTACGGGGCGCAGAAAAGCTGAAGCCAAACTAGGACACGCTCTCAGCTGTTACAGAACAGCGAATCGTCCAGAAATGTTCCTGCTTAACCCACGAGGCGAACACAACTAACAGGGTGGATTCCCTGCCTTGAAAAGGGCAAACGTTAAGAACAAGGTGATGTTTCCTTTGGCTGTAATAAAAACGCATCGTGAGCACGGAGAGCTCTCTGACACGGAACTACCAACGCCACCGACCAGGGATTCGGGCACAGGATCAATATTTACCTGACAAAGAGGTGCCATCACAGTTTGGCAGTGTTAATAGAAGGTCAGAAAGGGCTTTGCTGTGGTTTGGGATGCAAACCTGCCCCTGGACACGGCTTACTGGGCTCCACCAGTTTACTACAGCATTTCTTTGCACCTTTTTCTGAAATATCTGCTACAGAGACATGGGTTCAACGCAGCCCGACAGCTCCTCCGCTTCTACATCCATGCACCACAGCAAAGGAGAGTTCAGCAGCACCATGGACCCACCAAGAGACCGTCCACTTCTACCCCACCCGAGACAGAGCGTGGCCGTCTCCAGCTCGGTCACACCAGGCTCTGCACAGAACGGTGAGAGCACTCTGGAGCTTCCAGCTCATCTCAAATCCCTGACCACCCCGGCCTATAAGCTAAGCCTGTCAGAATCTCCCAGATGCTGCAGGTTCAGACTGGAAATCTCTGAGGACATGGACAATTCAGAGAGGCAGCCAGACCCAGCCTGCCGCCCTAGTCTGCACCGTACCACCTCAGGGCTGCGATGCTCCACAGCACAGAAACGCCAGGGCCAGGTGCTAACACACACAGGGATGTTACTGACGGACACGCCACGAGGATCGGGTCTCCTGCATGACTAATGGCACCTGCCACCACGCTCGCTCACCTCAAACTCTTCCCTAAGCTTCACCATCTGAGAAACTGATACTTCAGTAGCCCAAGCAGTGGTGAAATGTCCCCAGGACACATGGAAAGGCAGTTTGGTTTTTGCAGCAGTTCCTTCCATCCAGTCTACCGTGTTATGGGCTGCACCTCTTCTCCACCACACCCTGCTGGGCTCTTCTCTCCATCAAATCCCACCAAGCTCTCTGCAGGCTCAACTGATGGGATTTTGAGGTCTGCGTGATGCTCAGCCTGCTTGCTCGGCTCACTCGGGACTTCCCTGGAGCCACAGCACGAGAGAGGTGAGCAGGATCTAACTCTCCAACCAGGCATCTGTGGCAGAGCCGCACAGCCAAGGAGGAGGCACCCTGCCATCCCCTGGCATCGCCCATTAGGTCTAATTGTTTAATTAAATGTTTGACTTGGTAACACAAATGCAAGGTTTCCAGCAATCTCCCAGGAATCAGCTCTGTCGTAGCCAGCTCTCCACTTACACCTGACCCGTCTGACACAAGTCAATACTCAGTAACAAGTGGAATTGGCAAAGAACCTGCCCAGGCGCAGACGAGCTCGCCCACCTCCCCCTGCAGCTCTGCTCTGCTCCACAGAGCTTCCACCTCCCTGCAAGAAACAGGGAATGACTCCGGTGACTGGAAATGCTACAGGTTCCTGCAAATGGGCTGACCCCTTATGCCACCTCTCGGGACCCCAGCACTTAAACCCTGCAGCAGAGAAGGGGCGGGGAGAGGCTCTGGGCTCAGCGGCGAGGAAGAGGAGCGCGGCTGCTCCGAGGAGGGCTGGCTGGAGCGCTCCGTCTCCCGCGCAGCCCGACGAGATGGGGTTTATTGACTGGCAGCGTTGTTCGGCGATGGATTTGCGGAGCAGCCTCGGGGACTCGCAGACTGACTCAGCAACGGCGAGGACTGGAATAGCTCTCTAGTGCCTGCCTTCCTCCTGCTCCTCCGGGTTCACCGGAGCCCTGCCTCCACAAATCCAATCCCTCGGAAGGCCGGGAGAGAGTCTCTACCCCACGCACACCCCAGATCTCATATGTATGCATGCATGTACACACACACACACTTTCAACACCCAAGCCTGTTTTTGCCAGACTATTGGCAAAACAACAGCTGGTTTCAGCTAGAACCGTGGGCACAAGATCTGCTGGGAAGTTGGGCTGCAGTAGGAAAAAAAGGTCGATGAAGAGTGCCTTCCTCTCTGCTCTGCACTGGGGAGGCTGTGTCTGGGTGCTGTATCCGGTGCTGGGCTCCCCAGTACCACAGAGACAGGGACACACTGGAGGGAGTCCAGCAAAGGCAAGAGATGATGGGCACAAACAACACCTCAGGAATTTCCTTTTAAATATTAAAAAAAAAAAAAAAAGCATTTTTATTGTAAATGTGGTCAAACACTAGAACAGGTTGCCCACAGAGGCTGTAGAGTGTCCACCCTTGGAGATATCCAAAACACAACTGGACGTGGTGCTGAGCAGCTTGCCCTGCCTTTGAGCAAGGTGGGGCTGGGACTAGATGATCTCCAGTGGAGACCCCAAGCACCTCACAAATCCTCACCACCACCTCACTCACGTTTTCTCTAACCACCAAAGTAATGAATCTCACAGGGAAAAGAGAGCTGCCTTCCTTCTCAGGGCACAGAGGTGGTACCTCCAGAATGAAAAAGTTCAAAAGTACTCTGGAGAGTCACAGCAGTGGAGCAGCTGCAATTCCTCTGCCCAAACTTCAGTTCCACCTGAAGCCATGGGAGAAGGGGCCATTTCTGGAGTCAGGACCCCATGCTCCCTCCTCGGGATAACCCAACTGACAGCAGGCGAGCTCATCCCAAGAGTGGAAGTAGCAGCTCCCCGGTAATAGTAGAGAGGTGGGAGAAATCAAATCCATAAATTTAAAGGGAAGTGATGTATCAGTGCCCTCTGCTGCTGACAGTTTTTATTCCCTGACTGAACAAAACCCCGAGGGCTCAGAAAGCCCACTCTGCTTCCGACGCCTGCTGCTAAGTGGTAACAGCATTGCTCAGCTCTAGGCTCGTGTCTGTGCCAGCAGATGGAGAGCAGAGAGCATCCGAAACACTGCAGCACTTACAGCCACGCCGCGGGCTGGCACGGCACAGAGGCGGGCGGAAGGGATCCAAGGGATCCACGCTCAGCTCGCGCCGTACAGGCAGCACGGGACCCCAGGCTCTCGTCGCACAACCCCTCGCCCGCCCCTGAGCAGCCCACGCACCCTGCAGCAACTCCCCCCTCCTCAGGGAGCCCCGGATATTGCCTTGTTCGAGGACTCACCTTGCACCTGGGCACTCAGCTTCTCCAGGTCCTGCTCTGTCATGTGGGAAAATCTGCAGTTGGGCCCAAAATCACACTGTCCTGGAACAAAAGCCACGTTGCAACACGAGAGCCGCACACACAAGGTCCCTCCCTTGTAAACGTGCGTGCAAACCCAAGATCCTGGCACCTGCACGCCGGACACGCAGGCCCAAGCCCTGCGCTCCCTCCAAGACAAACAGGCACCAGGGCTCTCCAGAACAGCCCTGGGTCGGCTCACGAAGGAGCTGCTGGAGCTCAGGCAGTTACTTCTACCTCAGAACTCACCTGTTTGCAGAAACTTCCGACAAGGTTTCTTGGTCTGCTCCTCTTGCAGGATAGCGGCAGCATCTGGGGGAGACAAAGGACAAGCCAGGGTAAAGATCTCTTGCCCAGCAATACTCCATCGCGTGGTGGGCCCAAAGAGGTCGGCTGCCGAGCGGGAAGACCTTTTACACGACAACCATGAACTTAAGTCACAGACAAACTGAGTTAACAGTCCCTGCTCGTACCCCTGGCTTCAGCTTTCCACTGGCTTGCAAATATCATCATCTTTGCTTTCTGCTTCCTGTATTCTTCCCATGCCAGCAGGGGAAAAGCAGCACGACAGAAAAGCAAGGGCTCTGCAGCACTTCTGTGCAGCAGAGAAGACCAGGCAGACTCCGAGAGCTCTCAGAAAAGCTCTGTGCGAGGCCTCACAGGAGCCCGTGCCAAGTCTCCAGCAGACACTGCTGAAATGGTCCTCCACATCCTGGAGACGTCCTGGGGAAAGCGAGCCCCAAAGACCCTGCAGCTCCCACTGACTGGAAGAACCTGCACCAGCTGATGCCAGACCACAGGGTCTGGAGACAAGAGGAGAGGAACCCCCTAATCAGGGACAGGAGGAGGAATTCTATCGATCAGAGCGCAGCCTGGTGAGAAGAACAGTGCTACGTAGCCTGTCTCACCATCACTGACCCGGCTAGAACTGGGCTGGGGCTGATGTCCTCCACACTTTTTCCACCTTTCCACCTTCCACAGGCGGTTAAGCAGACAGCAGAGCCACCCAGAGCTCTGCAGTCACCTGGCCAGCCAGGAGATAAACACGGCCTGCAACTCCTGATCCTCAGGAGCCAGAAGGAAGCAGAGGAACACACAGGCAACGGTTTCACAATCAGGTGAACCCAAACTAAGTCTTTGCTACTGCTAAAATACACAGTCCTGCTCTCACAGGACACACATTCCCACCATATTCCTCGGGCTGGTACTAAACCACGTGACTGCATGGTGAGCCAGGTCAGAGTGTTGAGCTGGGTGAGAAGAGTCCTGTTAAACAGGCAGAGGACACAGGGCTTTCCTCCAGCACATCCTGACGCAGCCTCCAGCCCCAGAACTCCAATCTCTCCTCTGTCAAAGCCCCAAAGCATCTAGCCCTTCTCTGCTAAGACAGGTTTGAGCACACCATGCTTTGAGCTGCTTCTCCAACCCTCTCGCTCTTCTGGGATCTCCAGTCAAGCAGTTGCATCCTCAGCCTCTCCCACGGCACCCTCAGAACCAACATCTCCAGCCGGTGCAGAGAACTGCTGCCAGCTGCCCGCCCGTTGGCACAACCCGCGTGTACAGCCTGCCTTCCGGCCCGCTTTCTCCATCTACAGACACGCACACCCGTGTTCCTTGCTCCTCGCACGTCAGAGATCAACTCTGGCTTGCAGAAGGCACCTAACTCACCTTCAGAAACTGTAACTCACCTTGTTCTCTCAGGTCTCCTGTCTCAGATCTGCCCGCGATGCCAAGAGAGCTTTACCTGCAACTCCAGTTCTCAGAAACAACCCTCCTGTCTCTTCCACCTCATTTCAAGCCCCAGCTGATGTTTCCCCATCCCACATCCAGACACATAAGCGTGTGGCCCCTGAAACTGCTTGACAGCAGCAGTAGCGAGTCCACAATTTACTGACACAGACAATGCAAATATAAATCTTCAGTGCTGATTTATTTTATCTGTTCCACCCTCGCCCCCCTCATCCATCGTCTCCCCAGTCCCAGAAAGGGGAGTAGACAGCTGGTAGTACCCACCTCGGAATAAGTCGTACCAGACTCTCTTAGCCCTGAGATGCTGCACTCCATTGAGGTGTTTCTTCCTGTTGTGAAGGTTGTCCTGAAAGGACCTGTCACAGTAGTCACAGAAGTATCTCTTCCCCATCTCTCTTCTGGCAGAGCAGCATCAGCACGGCCTGGGAACCATCAGACAGATCCTCGGCACCCTGCCACGGAGGATCTCCGGGGACGGAGGATCCAAGATTTACAGCGCCTGCTTCCAAAGGAGAGGAACTCAAATCACTTAGGGCTGGCAGACAGAGAAAGAGGCAAGACCCAACAGTACATATTCTTGTCCATCAGCCTGGCAAGGCAGCGCCTGCGGGCTCCCCCCCGGCGGAG